CAGTTGATTTTCAGGAAGGTGGTAAACTCCTTGTAGGCCTTTTTTTTATAGAAGTCCAAATGCAGATAACCGTGTAAATGATGGGTTGTGTGCACTTTTCCAAGAAGTGGGTCAGAGTACCTTTCAGGGTGTTTTGTTAATTGGGGATTTTAATTTTCCCGACATAGATTGGGGATTAGAATCTTGTACAAAGGGTGTAGAGCATCCAGCTCATAAATTTATTGAGAGCACTAAAGATGCTTTTCTAGTACAACACCAAGTCAAGCCTACACGGCACCGTAGTGGCCAATGTTCCAATGTATTAGACTTGGTTTTCACAGCTAACGAACATGCTATTACAGATATTGCAACCTCTGCAAGTCTTGGCAGAAGTGATCATTATACACTGATTTTTGACATGAAAATAAGAGGCCAAGGTGCCAAAACTGGAGAAACAAGATACATTTATGATAAAGCAGACTATGATACAATGTATGATAAGATTATGGAAATTGATTGGAATAATGAATTTCGGGAGATGTCCATGGAAAAATCATGGTCGTTCTTCAAAACTACACTGTTAGACATCTTTAATCGTTATACACCAAAGAAAACACTAAATGTAGGTCAGAGGAAAAAACATTGGATGAACAGAGAGACTCTGGAAGTTGTTAGAGAAAAACATAGACATTTCAGAAAGTGGCAAGAGATGAAAAGCGAAAAAAATCGGGAAAAGTTTTCTAGTGCAGAAATTGAACAGCAAAGACGTTGTTATAGTAGATTCAGCAATCAAGCAAGGTGGCAGTGTAGGAAGGCGGTGAATTCATATGAGAAATATATAGCCTCAGGAGTTAAGAAGAATGCAAGAGCCTTCTGGTCATATGTAAACTCAAAAATAACAACTCGGGAAAGTGTCTGTAATTTAACTAAACCTGATGGGAGTAAAACAGAAACGGATCAGGAAAAGGCAGAGGTTTTGCAAGATTTCTTCTCTTCAGTTTTCACGAAGGAAGATTTACAAGATATCCCTCTCCCCTCAGATGTTGAATTTGACACTCCACTAGATGACATACAAATTACGTCAGGAGATGTGTTTGAACTACTGCGTAGACTTAAGCCTAATAAGTCTCCGGGGCCTGACAACATACATCCCCGTCTACTTAAAGAACTAGCAGATGTGTTAGCTCTACCAATTTCTATTCTTTTCCAAAAGAGTCTTGAAAGTAAACAGCTACCCCAGGACTGGAAATCTGCTAATGTTACCCCAATTTTCAAGAAAGGTAACAAAGATGATAGTAAAAATTATAGGCCAGTTAGTCTAACAAGCATTATTTGTAAAATGATGGAGAATCTTGTGCGTAAGCAATTGCTTGACCATCTTATGACGAATGATTTGATTTCAGTTCACCAGCATGGGTTTGTAGTTGGTCGGTCTTGCATTACCAATCTTTTAGAGGTGTTGGACCAGTGGACACAGATTTTGGATGATGGAGGCACAGTAGATGCGATATATTTAGACTTTATGAAGGCGTTCGATACGGTGCCTCACCACCGGCTGCTTCTCAAATTAGAGTCATATGGAGTCCGTGGGAATGTACTTGCATGGTTAGAGTCTTTTCTGAGTGGACGGCAGCAAAGAGTAGTGGTCAGAGGCAAGCAGTCTAAGTGGGGCAAAGTACTGAGTGGAGTGCCACAGGGCAGTGTGTTGGGTCCGTGTTTAATTTTGCTATTTGTCAATGACCTTCCAAAAGTTGTGAACTCAAATATTTCAACGTTTGCAGATGATGCAAAGTTGTATGTCTGTGCTGATACTGCAAATTTAAGAAAGCAGCTTCAAGAGGATCTGTCACGGATGGAAGAATGGGCTGAGAAATGGCAGCTTCGCTTTCATCCTGATAAGTGTACTGTTTTAAGGCTTTGGAAGTTACCAGCAGATGCCTCTACAGGCTATTGTATGAAAAAGGGGACAGACTCTGTAACACTATCTGTTACCAAAGTAGAAAAGGATCTAGGTGTCCTTGTAGATTCACAACTATCATTTAAAGATCACGTTTCCCAAACAGTTCTCAAAGCAAATCGAGTACTTAAATACTTTGAGTTATCCGTAGGACATTTCTGTACCTCAATACTGATACTATGCCGTTTTTGTTTAAAGGCCTCGTTAGGCCCACATTAGAATACGGACAGGCCGCATGGTCCCCGTACAGACTAGGAGAACAGAGGATGTTGGAAAGCGTACAAAGACGTGCAACAAAGATTATTCCTGGCCTTAGAAATTTATCTTACCAGGAGCGCTTGATCAAACTCCAATTACCAACTCTTGTTCACAGGCGTAGAAGGGGGGACATGATCGATGTGTACAAGTGTTTGAATGGCTTGTACAATGTGCAAGAGATTCCCTTTAAGTTGAGTACAGAAGATAGAACTCGAGGTCACTCTAGAAAACTAGAAAAGAAATATTCAAGACTAGATATCAGAAAATACTTTTTTAGCAATAGAGTCGTGGAGCTGTGGAACAGTCTCCCAGAAAATGTTGTGGCAGCTGGGTCAGTCAACTCATTCAAGAATAGACTGGATAGTCACTGGTCAAAGAACGCAAGCCTTCTGTATGAGCCGGTCTAGGTGTTGTCTGTTGTTTCATGTTTTACACAACCTCCTCCCTCCACAAATCGCAGTTCCCTGGAAGAATCCTGGATCGATGAACAGGCTTAGACCTACAACATCGTGTATTAAAGTAAAGTAAAGTAAGTATCACGCATTAGGCGTGACATCTCACATTTGGAGGGTCTGGAAATGCTCTTACGCACGACGCGTGCGCTAGATTTTGAAAAAACGCTATACCTTATACGTGTGTTATACCCTCGCATGCGCGCTTGCGCGCCGAATCATGAAAATGTCATGCTTTGCCCATCTTTGAACTTGTCGTCTTTGAATGCCATATGCGAGAAAAAACTAATTGCAAGCATGTACAAAGTCACTTGATGACGGCTTTATACTTCAAAGTTCAAATCGTCTTCAACTCCCTCTTATATATTACTACTAGGCATATGATTCCCTCCCCCTACAATTAATAGTAAATAATTCTTCTGATGATTCTTAGTCAATATTCACTTCAAAATGATGATTATATTCAGAGGATTTCATTTTTTGGGCCTGTAAATGGGCCACCCTGCCTATAAATAATGTTCCAACCTTACTTTTTCATCATTTTGAATTATGTAATGCAGGCGAGACCGCCTGTACCAGTAATACATGTGAACTTACATGTAAAGAAAAACATTTAAAAAATCAACAACAAAAAAAATTTGAATCTTCTTTTTTTTTTCCTTTTTTTTGGGGGGGGGGGGGAGTCAAATTTTCCCTCGGATCGCGCCACGCCTTTTTAACTTCTTGGCGAGAGGCCTGACTCCAGGGAGCTCCGATTTCGAAGGCGTCAGAGCTCGAGAGTCAGTTTCTGAAAACAAATCAAACAGCGGGTTGGGTCACATTTTTTTCGCAATGTACCCATTAGTCTATAATTACAATTTAGACTTAAAGCCTACACTGTCTTTCCAACCACTTGAACTTATAATTTGAAGAAGTCTTCGATGGGGAAAAAGGATGATTCTTCATCCTAATCCGACGATTCATTGATTCATGTTGTATCGTGGATTCAACATACATGTAGCAAAGAGGAAGTACGCATGCACGGTAGCGACGGAGCAAATATGAAATATTCATGATAATTATAGAGCACCGTTTGCTCGAAACTGCTGAATATGCAAGAGGTTGAGAAGGGCTCTGTCTCTTCAATTCATGCATATGACTATAAAGAAAGTGTTTAATAAATTTTGTCAGTCATCAAACACATATAAAGTACTACTCCCTGGACAACTAACCCCTACGACAATTAACCATCCTCTAGGACATCCACCCACCGGACACCTATCCCAGGGGATAGTTGTCCTATAAAGGGATAGTTGTCTGGGAGGTAGTCGTTCGGGGGATAGTTGACCGAGGGGAATTGTTCCGGGGGGGGGGGGGGGGGGGGGGTAATCCTAGTGGGAGGTTGCCTTACTTAGGGGGTAGTTGTCCGAGGGTGTACTTGACTAGGGATGCCATGGTTATCCGGGGATGGATGTCCAGGGGGTAGGTGTCCGGATACGGACCTTGTAGTTGTCAGTATTGGTATGTTGAGTTGAAATAACGGCGGTGGCGTCAACATCAAAAACTTAAACCTAAGGTTAAGTTTTTGAATTTTTGATATAATTTTAAAAGTAAAAGTCCTTAGTCAATGAAACTTGTACTATAGGATTATCAAGTATCCCCAATCATGTGAGTAAAATTCAGGTCACTAAGTTAAGGTCAAAGGTCATTTTAGCTCAACAAACTTAGACTTTTTTGTGGCATCAACATCAAGATTTTGAATTTTTAGCATATATTCAAAAGTGTTCGTTCAAATTGCATGAAACTTGTACCCAAGGGTTATCAAGTATCACAAGGTCAAAGGTCATTTTAGGAAATTTAGGTTAGTAGACTTGGATTATGTTTTCACAACTTAATATGAGAATAAATGAATCAATTTTTGCTATTTGTTCAAGATTCTTAGTCAATAGTCACTTCAAAATGCTGATTTTATTCAGAGGATTTCATTTTTAGGGGGCCTGCTAATGGGCCACCCTGCCTATAAATAATGTTCCAACCTCAATTTTTCATCATATTGAATTGTGTAATGCAGGCGAGACCGCCGAGAACGTTTCCCTTGTTCATCACATTGAATTGCGTAATGCAGGCGAGACCGCCGAGAACGTTTCCCTTGTTATTTCTTCAACCCTGTGTATTTTGTTTCTTTGTTAACTGTGCTGCACTATGCCCATTGATGTGTTGTGCACAGCATCCATCTTTTAGTACAGTTTATGCTTTTTGTTGATCTATAACTTAAGTACATATTATTATTGTGTTTATTGATTCATAACTAAAGTACATATTATTATTGTGTTTATTGATTCATAACTAAAGTACATATTATCCTTCCGTTCTAGATAACCATGGCAAAGACAAGCGATCCCGAGAAGAAATGTGAAAATGCCCCCCCTGATGGTAAGATACATGTAGCATCACCTGATGTAATTGGAAATATGTCTATCTTAAACATTTGAAATTGAAATTTCAAGACTACATTGTGTGAATATGAAGGAAAATCTACTATAGCGGAGTAATGAACAAAGAAAATTCTGTCCAATTAGGAATTAGGTTGGTTAAACTGATCTTGGTATTTTGTTTTTGCAGTTCTTAATATGTTGGTATTTCTATAATTTGCTCTTCAGGGAACTGCATAATAACAACAGCCCAAACTATTAAGTTTTTTTTCTTCTTTTTTTTCCCAGTATCTCTTGCAAATGTAGTCCCATGGACATGTTAATGACATGAGAGATACTTTATTTATTGACCATTGAGGATTAGGCCTTATAACAATCTCATAACCTACATTGTAAATGGAATCAGGTCTTTTACTAAGCTTTGAAAAGGTTGGGTTTGTGATATGTATGCCTGTGCTAATGTTTTTCTGTTTTCTTCTTTTATTCTAATCTCAAGGGGTGGTAAAAGAGGGACCTGAAGAAACAGCACATGGGTGGCCATGTCTGATCTCCCTGAAAAGAAGCAGGTTAGTAGATATATAAAAACTTGCACCAAATGATGAAGGATGTTTGAAATTAGACCTGACAGATCTTGAGAAACACAAATATTTGCATTATGAATTAACTTATTTGCTGGTTTGACACTTTGAAACAAATGGTACCTCTCACTTCATCTTTGGTTCCATTTGATAGTACGTATATCAGAAGAAATTTTCTACTTTTAGAAACTGAATTGTCAGTTGAAATATGGTGCAATACTGTGAATCCGTTGTGTGCTGGTCGATATCCCTGTATTAGAGATGGGACTTGGGTAAAATTCCCAACAAACCCTATAAAGCATGGGACATGGAAAAATTTGCTCAGAAGGCAAGACAACTTTGAAATCACTGCCGATCGCGGCTACGTTCGCTGATTATCAAGATTATATTTGTGATTGGAAATTGAAATTTCAAAAACCGTTTTCCCCAACGGTTTTTTATAACACTACCGTCTAATGGGGAAAATGAGTATGGAAAAATCGGTCACTCAAAGATTTTTACTTTTTGAGGACTTCATGATCATTTTGAAGCGCAATTTCAAACCTGTTACTAGTATGCATCAGTGTTAGGGGACAAGTGAGGACATTTTCAGCTTGTCATGTCAAAGTTCGAAGGTCATACAGATCAATTGACTTATAAGTAAAGGCTTTTTATTCTCATCATGATATTCCAATAATAATTCAAGCCAGGACCTTAACTGAATTTAGGCAGAGGCTTATTGGACTCATGGTATTATTTGTATTGTTATATTTTCTGTTGCAAGTTGTCTATTGGTGAAAGTTTAACAGAATTTTTTCCTTAATTTAGTCTGGTAACTTTGATTGGTGTACATGACAGTGACACTCTGACGCTTCTTAAGTATCAATTTTTTATTTATTTTTTATTTATTTGTCAGCCCATGGGAGGAGAAAGAAAGTCAGAAGGATTCACCAGGCTTGAAGGAGAAATCAGAAGAAATTGCTGCATCAGAACAGAATACATCGAAGGGAAAGGATAGGTCACTGCTTCCATGCTCAAATAAGAAACGCAAGGTATCTGCAAATGTACATACATGTATATTGTTCAGTATTTTTGCACCCATCAAAGCTTGTCGTGTTATGCACGCAACATAACATTACATGTAATCTATGATAGATCGTAGTGAAGAGATGGAAGATTTTTCTTTTAAAGGCAAGAAGTAAAATATGAGAAAGAGATGTTGGAAGGTTTCAATGAAAATGTACATTTCAAATTATTTAAGTTATTGTATTTGTAATTCTGCCTTTTGTGTATTTTTCTTTCGCAGACATGTACCACCAGGCTTGCAGGAATTGAGCCCAAGTACATATGGATGCCCCTTTTAATACCGGTACTGTTCATATTCATACCAGGAGCTGATGGACTAAAAGGTTTGCATTGTGTTAAAATTTATTTTTGAATATTTAAAATAACATGTACAAGTTGGGGAGATTCAAGCAAAAAATTTCTGATAGAAGAATTGTTCAAGTACCTTTTTTATGCACAAAGACTGTGGCTGTGATCATAAAAGTACATACAAATGTGTCTCTTTTTAAGGGAAAGGGTCTTACATGCATGGCAGAACAAAGGATAGAGGTTGGATCTGGAAACTCATTAAGGGAGATGTCATTCTTATGGAGTACAATATGTCTGCTTTGTATGTGTTCTTTTCATGTCACAGAGATCCAAAGAAATCCAATCAATTTATTTTGTCTTGCATGTTATTCATGTATAATCTTCGTTTGAGCCTGCACTCATGGCTTCATATATAAGCAGATATGTAGTTGTGGGTATTGACAACCAATCCATGTCCACAATTTCACAAATGATTCATTTTTATGCCTCCACCACTGAAGGTGGTGCCAGAGGCGTATATTTTGGGTATTCCGTTCGTCCCACCTTTCGTTAGTATAAAATGAGAAAAATTGAAAGGATTTTAACAAACTTTTCAATGTTCAGATTATAAAGTACTACCCCAAAAAAAATTCCCATCATCTCTACTTTGTTAAATGCTGCTAGAAAAATGACCTGTACATTTTACCACTTTCTATGCCTTTGCCCACCAAGGGTGGTGCCAGAGGCATGATGCTTTTGAGTTTTCCATCCGTCCCACTTTCTCGTGAACGTGATATTTCAAGAACCGCTTGAGGTATAAGCTCCAAACCTGGTGATACATAGGGAGACAATCTGTGATTAGATTTTGGGGTAAATAGGTGATACAGAGCTGCCAACCATTACGTTTTTCCCAGAATCCTTCTGGGTTTTTTCTCCCAATTACGGTAGTACGTTTTTCTTCATAATTTTTTTTTTTTCTTTCCTTTTCTTTCTTTTTTTTGCAAATCAACCAAATGCCCTAAAATGTTGATCACTACTTCAATAGTAAAACAAAAAGAAAACGAAAAGTGAAAGGCGTAATTGGTAAATATTCTCAAAAAGAATGAACAAAAATAAATTACCTACCAGTAGGCCTACTTGTAAATAAACTATAGGTCCTAATATGGAAATAACAGCAATTTACAGCATGAGGAATGGAAATTTCTGCATTGGAGGTGTGTCGCACGTGGTTGTAAATTTTGTTTTAATGAATTCCTTTTTTGGTTGCACAAGGTTGGCAGCTCTGGTAATAGGTCAAAGTTCATAGGTCATAATGATCAAGTGACATGTTAATATAGGCTTTTTGTTCTCGTTGTGATATTCAAGGAATAATTCAAGCCACAATAGTAACTGAATTTAGGCAGAGGCATGTTAGAAATGCAGTTAAATTTGTCTCATTACCATCTTCATTTGTTTTTTGTCTTTTTCCAGTTCAACGGCGGGACTTCAGGAAAATTATTATAGGGATGAATGAGGTTAAAATGGTAACTGACCCAATTTTGAGACCAGTTGATGACTCAGTCTATTCTGTCTTTGCGAAAGATGGAAATGATGACCATGAAGGCTTTGAATGCACACCAGGTTTTGTGTCAACAAATCCAAGTTGCATCATAGTTGTAGGGGACACGAGCAAGGCCGAGTGTGAGGGATTGCAGATCTCTGGGAATGCATCTTACCTTGCTGTAGTTGGCTCAGAGCTGACTCACGACCGAACAACATACTGTATCTATCAACAGGTCCCAAAATTTTTTATCCTTTACACTCTAGAGGTTTCCAAGAAACGTGAACAAGGTAATATTTTACCTTCAGCAGATATTGTTGTGTTTTAAAGGAGAATGAAACCCAACAAAGAGAATGAATATCTTTATTCCAAATTGTCAGTCTGTTAAAGGAGACTGAAATTACTCCTTTTTGTTGCATATAATCCAAAATGTTTATAAATGATTTTTTTTTTCTTTCTACCTTTCTTATTATTTACCTGTCATTAGCTATATAATAATTTTGTATTAACAACAACAAAAATGGAAATATATTTCCAACAGTTTATAAGAAAACAAGCAATTATTAGATGATAATCTATTGTATATTTTAATTTTCCTCTCCTTCATTGTATAATTTGTCTCTTTATTATTTTATCTTTGTAAACCTTGTATCGGTATGTTGGTTGTAATCTTATTTATTGATTTATTAGTTTTGTTTGGGTACATATGTACTTTACATGTACAGACCTATGAAAAGAAAAGCTTTACAGCTGTCGATCAGCAGTGTTATTTTTCCAACCGTGTACATAATATATATATGACAAAACAACAATAAATTGATGACGTACAGCAGCTGCGCATATATATACAAAATTATAATAAAAAATGTTATTTGTATATTACTTTTAGACATCAACGACTGTGCGTCATACCCATGCCAGAATGGAGGAGCGTGCTTGGATGGACTTGACTCATACACTTGCAACTGTGCAAAAGGCTATGACGGAGCTAACTGCGAAAGCGGTAAGTGTTTGCAAATTAATAAAGTAAGAGCCGGGTATCTTGCAGTGCTAATGTACTGATTAGATTGTGGGGTCATGAGGTCAAAGGTCACAGGGCTCATTATGTATGCAAAAATAGCTTGTGATCACATTATTTCCAGAACCGATGGACAGATTACCATCAAACTCAGGACATGCATGTATCTTGCAGAGCCAATGAACTGAGTAAATTTTGGGGGTCATGAGGTCAAAGGTCATGGGGTTCATTATGTATGCAAAAAAATAGCTTGTGAACGCATTCTCATTAGAACTGACGGATGGATTACTAATACTTTCAAACTCAGAACATGTATGTATCTTGCAGAGCCAATAAACTGATTAGATTTCAGGGTCATAAGGTCAAAGATCAAAGGGTCATACATGTTATGAAAAAAGCTTGTTATCACGATATTCTGAGAACCCATGAATGGATTACAATCAATTGTGAATTTTAAAAATTGCTTCTGTTTTGGTTTGTAAAGTCGCTCTATGGTGGAGGCATCATTTTCGACTGCGCGCATTCGAAGATCTATGTAGTCTATTGCTTTTTTGGTCCATACTCTTTTATGTAGATTGAATTCTTATCAATCATTGTCATAACAGTTTCTCAATTCAATATGTAACACCTTTGTTTTACCTGTTTTTAAGTTAAAACAGTTCTGACATTTATAATATGCATCATTTATGTTACTCTGTGTTATTTCCTCTTCTGTCTTCCCTTGTCCTCTTCTTCCTTTCCTTTTCAGCTTTTTTAAAATTATGAAGTTTTCTGTTTCTGTGGCAATTTAGTAATATAAAAGCATTTGTCAGTTCACAGTTTGTAGTGGATATGGCATCTCTTAATGCTTCATGCTCTAGCACCTAATGTACAATGTGTATGCCTCTGCAACAAAGTATAGCCCTGGAGGCATTATGTTTTTGGGTTGTCCATCCGTCCGTAAGAACCGATTGACGGATTCCCTCTAAACTTGGGTCATGTAAACTGGAATTGTATTTTCTCTTCTTGTTTTCAGACATCAACGAATGTGCGCCTAACCCATGCCAGAATGGAGGAGCATGCGTGGATGGACTTGACTCATACACTTGCAACTGTGCAAAAGGCTACGGCGGAGCTAACTGCGAAATCGGTAAGTGTTCGCAAATTAATTATAATAATTATTAAAGTAAGAGTCAGGAGAGTGTTTGTGAATTTTGCATGTAGTTTGCACAATCTTTGCAACTGAAGTGGTGCTAGAACTTGTAGAAATTACAATTTTGGCATTAATTCTAGCGTAATCTTAACGTGATTTTAACCATAGGATATAAAACAGGTTATTGAAATTGCGGTTGAGTTGATTTTTCAAAAGTAGTTGTGATCATGTATCAATCGTATTACTGAAGCAATGGCCTAGACCAAATGGATTTTTTTTCAAGCAAAGATATCTCTGAATCATTTCGAATGGAAAGGGATTGGTGGGGGAGGATAGGTGGGGATGTGGCATTACATTTTGCTAAAAGTTAACTGCTAAATATTCAACAAGACATTATAAAAAGCTCCCCAGGTTTTTAAGTTTCCCTAGACGGCTGAGGTTCACCCCAAAAATATTTCCAGCAGCCCCCATCAAAAAGTCTTAAATTTGCCACTTTTCTTTCTGGTATCCAACAATCAAGATCAGGGTAATATTTTCCCTTCAGCAGATATAGTCGTGTTTTAAAGGAGAATGAAATACCCCCCAAAACAGAATGGATATCGTTATTCCAAATTGTGAAATTACTCCTACACCTATTTGATTACTCAGCAAGGAAACCTATCTCTCCAGAGTTCACAATTTCCTTGCTTCCCATCTCCTATGAAAGTCGCCATGTTGATTGAGTTGTAGGACTTGGGAGAATGCAAAAATGAATGCAAAAGCTCTCACCCTGAAGGGGAGGGGGAGGGGGCAATCCCAGATACGCCATTGATATTTGTATTTCAGAGGATGAAAGCAAGAGAATAATGGGTTCAGCATATATTCTTTTACCCCCGCAGAGCATACCAGGTTCTTTTTCCCCTGTGTTTAGATGCATACATACATGTATATTCATTACAGCAAACCTTTTAAAAGCATAGTGAACGCAGCCTTTTTGAAAATATTTTAGTTTCTTCTTCCACGTCAGATTTTGATGAGCTTGATGGATTATATGCAAGAGGAAAAAGATAATAAATGAATGATGTCTTGAGATCAATTTGTTATAAACTGGTGCATATATATTATTCATGTAATTTGTACCACTTGTATCTTGGTTTGGTTTTAAAGATTGTGTGTTTTAATTTTGTTTCCAGCTCCCGAGACTAATCACTATAAGGTTGCCTTCTACATCCTTCTGGGCATCGATGTGTTCATACTTCTTGTCATCGCCATCGTCATCAAGAAAAACTTCCCATGCATCCGTGCATGGTGGAAGAAGTACATGTAAGTTTAAGCAGCATCATGCTGCATCTTTGGTCCTGTCTCAGAATAGTATCTTGATTTGTTGTTGTTGTTGTTTCTTTTACTTTTGTTTGATTTTATTTCTACAAGATTCATATTCTACTACATTTCAATATTTACATTGCATATCATAAAAAGTGCACACATTGAAAATATCCTCAATTTTGTTTTTATATCTGCATTGTAATATCTTCTTATGAAATTATTGGTGAATGTCTATTCAATCAGATGGCACTCAAATTATTGGCAATATTGTGCGCTTGAGTGAGCACTGGCTAATTTCGAAAAATTTGTTTGCACAAAAAAATGTCAGTCTTTTATTGGATAAAAGAGGAAAGCAGGCAGTTATTGCATGTTGTGAACAATCATTTGATCTTTAACCCTATACCAGCTGTGCATACCCCCAGTGACGTATCTAGAAATTGAAAAAGAAGAGGGGCGGTATCCTCCCAAGACTTGGGTTCGGTAAATGTATCTGGGCAGGGAGTCGAAACTCTTGTAATTTATTCAAACGCATTCGTGAGTTCTAAAGCGTAACAATGGGATGTGTTACATTCCACTTGGCTTTGAAGTTCCATGCTTCGAGCCGCGCTTCCACTGCGGTGAATTTTGGAGGCCAGGGCACCAGTTTCACATTTATTACAAAATATTAAATTACCGGCAAAATTTCAGTGTAAATTATAAACTTTATATGGGGATTGTATTGGGAATAGTGCATCAAACAATTTTTCAAATTTAGGACTCCGCCCTTCCTATAATTTGTGTGCGAGAGTTGGTAAAAGAAAAATTAGATCCTGACAAAAACTCTATATTTTATTTTTAGGGTAATGCCCTAATTTGTGCATGTTTTAATGTCCCGTTATGTAATCCATGATTTACAATCTTCGATAACTTTAAGTTTGCTCATGCGTGTTTTTTGTATTTTTGCAGTTGGAAAAAGGATGAAATTACACAAGTTTGTGTTCGCTTGTTCTACTCTTTACACATTCAACAATGGATGAGAAATCATTGAAAGGGACAGTGAACAATTGCTGTGATACCATTTTCTGATGTAGGAATTCTAAATCCTGAAACATCATGCGCTCTTTTATCCCACCACCTGCTCAACAGTTGCAGATTAGCGCATAACTTTTCGGCGGCTTGGAGCATGGGGTCAAAGGAGAGCGACTTGATTCCAGTCCTTCTCTATCACGTCCTTGATCTGGGCAGCCCCTTTCTTTTACCCTTATAGCAAGTTTCAATGTTTTTTTGTGGGGGGGGGGGGGGGGGGGCTCTTCAAGAAACAAGGTGTTGCATGGTGAATTAGAAATTTAGCAAAGGAAACCTGTTTATTGAAAAGGTTATGCTTTGTGTGCTGTAATAGACCTGGTTACTGACATATTCATATATGACAAACTGAAGGTTTGCTCGACATAGCAACACTTAATGTATGCAGAGTGGATTCCAAGTATTGTAGTTCATTCATTAATAACAGGTTAATGGAATAACTCAACACTAGCTCCCCAGGAAAGAAATATCCATAGATTTGAATATGTTAGTAAACCGGTCTAGCTATTGAACATGGAAGTGAAAGATAGTGACATGCCTTAATTACACTGCATGTTTTCCACATGCTCCAGCGGCAACGTATCATGAAAATTAGATGAAAAGATGTGACAAACAAAGGAAACAAATTACATGTTTAAACAAAAAATTCTTTCTGTTTTATGAATATTGAACAACTTCTGTTCATCTTTTGTACTGCATTACATTCTGTCAAAATGCTAAAATCTAAAATGGAAATTCAGTGCAGAGCAGAGAATAATCTCCTATGTTATGAGCAAGTGCGTGCACACGCTAGTGTGGGTGTGTGTGGGAGGGGGAGGGATGTACGGGAGGGGGAGGGATGTACGAGTGCAGATGTAAGATCAAAGATCATTGGCAGTTAAAAGAGCAACTGATGCCTGATCTATGCACTTTGCTCTACTTCAAGACATTTTTATGCAAACAGGTTTTCACAAGTTTTTCAAAATTAGCCAGTTACCCAGTACTAACTCAAGACAATTTTTGTCAATACTTTGAGTGCCCTCTGATTGACTAGAGCCTCACTCATAATTTCTTATCAGATATTTTCAAAGTGTGTACCGGTTCTCATTTTTGAAACTTTGAAATACTCAGGGTGACAACAACAACAAATGTGTGTGTTTGTGTATCTTATTTTTCTTTACCGGTAAATAGTATTGAATTTCTGTCTTTCATTTGCATAAACAGACTTTTCTATCGAAATCAAAATCAACAATAGTTTCTGAAATTTCACTTATTAAAAAAGTTCTATATAACCTTTACATTAATTAAAGTGGTAAATTTTATTGTATTACATTTTGCTACTGTTTATTATATTATATTTTACTCAAGTTGTGCTGTTTAATGGTGTCATATCATTTCATTTCATTTCATTTCTTTATTGTGTCCATAAAGGATAATTGTTTATATGCACATGAACAATCTTGCTTCAACATAAGAACATAGGAACAACATATAATTGACATTCATAGGGCCCTGTTTTAGTATACATTTGATATAATATACATGGTCATGATGAATATACATTTAAATACTCTTTCTTCTTCTTCTTCTTCTTCTTCTTCTTCTTCTTCTTCTTCTTCTTCTTCTTCTTCTTCTCTCTTTCTTCTTACATACCCTCCATTTTTTAAAATTCTTATATGCTCTAATATGAAGTAGGTATTTTGTGTTAAAAATTATTTCTTGATATGGTATAACAGTAGGGGTACAACAGTAAAGTAAGTATACTACAACAATATATATATTCGTGTAACATGTCAATGAGGGTATTTTGCATGTTTTTCACATTCTCTATTCTTTACTGGGTTTCATTAACTACTCTTATGGAAAGTGGAATGAATTAATTAATGCGGCGACTAGTTCTTGCTTTAACAGATCTCAATCTTCGTCCGCTTCTCAGGTGTATGTACTGGTCATTAAGGGGGTGGGTAAGATCAGACATAATGGATAGGGCCTTAGATACTACTCTTTCCTTACAGACTTCATCTAGGTCAACAGTATGGTTCATTATTTTGCTGGCTTGTGATATATAAGAGAAAGTATCAGTTTTCCATTTCTTTTGTGCTTAAATCCCCACCCTTACTCCTCAATTTTGTGGGATTCAAATTTTACTGTTATATTTAACGCTTTTTTATACAGAATGAAGCAAGAATCCACAGATCACATCGAGGGGGGATCTCCCTCCCCTACAGTAGGAACGCCCATGCTGCCTATTACCGTAGCTCATGAGCATCGAGATGAATAGAAGGAGCCACTGATTTTCCTCTTTACAGTTTAAGGCCTTTTATTATCCCCTCGCCGACGAAGTTGGAGGGGATATAGTAACGCTGCCGTCCGTCCTTCCATCATTCCGTTCGTAACAAATTTGGTTTCTGATCAATAACTTCAGTAATGTTTGACGGATTTTAATGACATTTGATATGAAGGTACATGATATCAAAATACAGGCTACGTTCGATTTTGGAGTATGTAGGTCAAAGGTCGTAACTCATTAAATATGCGAATCTGGTTTCCATTCGATAACTTGAGTAATGTTTGATAAATTTTAATAAAATTTAATGTGAAGGTACATGGTATCAAAATACATGTACAGCATGTACAGTATGTAGGTCAAAGGTGAAAGGTCATAGCTCATTGAATATGCAAAAACACCTAATTATATATGTGAAAATGTGGTTAACTTCCTTGCCTAGTAATATAATAGTATAGACCAATGGAGGCAACTTATTCTGACGTATATAGGCCATTTGTACCCTGCGAGGGAATGCTACGCTTTGCATTGACATGGTTTTTTTTTAGTTTGTATATTTGTTTGTTTTGATTTTTGTTTAATTCATTTCAGTTGAGTTTTGAACATTAGCAATTCTGTAACCCCCCTGTATATCAGAAAGATATAATAGCCCCTACCAGATCTTAAATTTTATTTTAACTTTCACTCAAGATAAGATGGGCGATAGCCCAAGAGATTATAAGGAAATGAAAGATAAAATGTGGGATATAGAGTTGTCTTAAAATACCTATTATTTTTTAAAGATAAATTATTTAAGAGATAAAATTTGGTTCAGATTGTGGTTTTAAAAAGGTTTAATTAAATGTATATACTGCTCCTAATTTTAAGGGTTTGTGATGGTTATATTTTTCAGATTGTAGATTCACACTGTAGGTATATTTAGTAAATGCATGTATGGTGGTGTGACCCTGGGGTGACCTTGAATCACGGACAGTTCCATAGCTAAAAATATCTGTAAGATTTTGAAAATTGATTAATGTATAACCAATGGAAAGAGGAAAATAAAATGACCTAAAGACAAAAGATCTTTGGAATATGGTGTAAAATTTTGAAAATATTGAAAAAATCAGCAAATTTTGCATTTGTTTGCATCCGTCATGATAAAAATTAAATTTCTGACAATGGTATGGAAATCTTTGTTTTGAGAGTATATGCCATCAAAATTGCAAGTAAAAGTGATACCAGCTTATTTTATGATATTTTAACTTGCAATTGATGCAAAATTACCTTTGATCGATCGCCTTTTTTGATAAATCACTTGTGAACTCTCGTACGCGAATACCATTTGGATGTTCATTTGGTACTAATTGATCTAAATAAATTCTTATAGAATATGAGAAATCCTGAGTCAAATACAACATTCCTATTTTGTTTTTTGATGTACACAAACTTTGGTCACCCCATCAAACATATTTAAGTTGAATTCACTTATACATGTTTTTGTATCCTAAATATTTTCCTATTTTTTGCTTGATGTTCAATGTATGTATGTTTGTATTAAGTAGAAACATTTTTTGTTTGTATATTATCTGACATTGTAAATGTCAAGAGATTTGAACAGTGTCGCTTTGCGTTCCTTGCTGGTATCGCTTCTGGATTTCACTGTAAAAAACATATGTTCCCTAGCCGTCAATGTAGAAAATTGCTGAAGATGTTAAGGTAGATTCGTAATATAACACTGATTAACTGATGACGATGAAAAGGGCTATTCCAGTAATCTCATATTTTACATGATGTCACAGAGATTGTTCTGTGTTGAGTTTACTGCATAATGATTCCTTTTACCAGGGGGGTGTATCATCAAGCCTTGAATTTAATTTTTACAATCGAAATCAATTTTAGGTGATGAAACACCCCCCTGGCCCTGGTTGAATGTTTGACTACTGTATTTATGTATGGTATAGGTAAAGGCTGCCTAAATTACCAGTAGTAGATTGCTAGTAATTAAGTCTTCAATTAAGTCTTCAGTTAGTGTTGCACTCATGATGCAGCAAAGTGATATAAGGAATCATTATGCAGGTTAGCGCACAGATTATTGGGTTCTCATAGGGGCCTTTGTATAAATGCCCAGCTGTTTGTTTCTTACCTCTACAGCATCACCTATTACTATTCATTTACTTGTTAAACAGAATATCATTTTACCGCAGCAGTAATTTGAAGTTGTCAACTATTTCATACGGCACATGGATGAAAGTTGTGATTATGGGGCAACCAGCACTTTGTTCAGTTCATTTGTATTGCACATTTGTAAAGCACATTCCAATCTGACATCGATCTGGTAGTTTGTTTTGAATATTATCTCACATTGGAAGTATCCAAAGATTTGAGCAGTGTCTTTGGAAAGGGAACCCAAAATCATAATGTGTATGCTTTGGGTTCATGGCTGGTATCACCCCTGGGTTTTACTGTAAAAAAACATATATATATATAGCTGTCAATTTAGAAAATCACCGTAGATGTTAAGGTATATTTGGAATATATAACACTGTTCTGTCGTATGTTTTATATTGATTGCCTGGACTTGAATAAAGCAGAATGACTGAACTGTATATACTTGAGCCTGCGTCTTTATTTTCTGGATTTACTACAGTAGTTTATTTAGAGAGTGTATCTTAATGTTTCCAGTTGTAAACAGAATCTCTATTTATTTGCTAGATTATATAAAGGCATTTCTTACCCCCATTTACTTCAACTTTCACAGGTGGAGGGGGGGGGGGGTGTTTTCGTCAAGTAATATCACATGTGCCTCGCAAACAAAATCAGAAAAAATTACGAACAACTTCTAAAACAAAGTCATGTATTTTTGTATTTTGTATTTTTCTATGACACACCAAACAAGTTAAATGTGCAGAGAGAGATCAGCATTTTAAAAAGAAGAGAACACGGCAGCGAGCAGGTCTAACAAAAGCAAAGATAGAACAACTTCCCTCCTTGAACATTAAGGAGAAAAGGGAATAATATACTCGTGACCTATTTGGTGATCATAGAGGTGCAATATATCATAAAGAGTTGTTATTGATTCAAATACATTGCCACTGTACTAAAGAGATAGAAGTTGCAATTCAGTTCAAGTTGCCATTGATTTTAATCAAATGCAACTCGTTATAAGATTGGCCCCAGAACACCAAAGCATTGATGATGAGGGTCCAAAGTCCAAACATTCTTAAATCAGAAGAAGACAGTGGCGGATCCAGGGGGGGGGCCCGGGGGGCCCGGGCCCCCCCCCTTGAGAAAAAAATCATGTAAAATCACGTGATTTTTACGATTTTTGGGGGTTGGGCCCCCCCCCCTGGCGCTCAAGGGGGGGTGCAAATTGAAATTTTTTTGAGGATCAAAAAAAAAAAAATGTGCTCACTACCCCCCCCCCCCCCCCCCCCCCCCCCCCCCCCCCCCCCCCCCACTGAGCGAATTTTCGGCCGGCGCGTTTTTCAAATTTTCGGGAGCAAAAAAAAAAAAAAAAAAAAAAAAAAAAAAAAAAAAAATTGTGCTCTGTACCCCCCCCCCCCCCCCCCCCCCCCCCCCACTGAGAGACTTTTCGGCCGGCGCGAATTTCAAATTTTCGGGAGCAAAAAAAAAAAAAAAGTTGGGCCCCCTCCCCTAAGAAATCCTGGATCCGCGCCTGGAAGAAGAACATGCTCTTCACTCACTGAGAGCTTCTAAATATGAAGGTCCAGATGCGATAGCAAAAGAAAAACTTGATAGCCTAAAAGAATTTGGTATTGAACATTTGACCAACATAATTGTGCCAGAATATACAACACACATATTCCTGAGGACATGAAAAGTCCATATTTGAGCCTATCCCTAAGACACCTAAGGTCACTGTATACGTGAATTTTCCAAGACTATATTAATCTTGTGAATTATGTAACCAAGTTGCTCTGGAAGATCATACTAAATAGAATAAAAGATCAAATTAAAAAGAAAGAAGGTCAGGAACAATTTGGTTTCAGACCTCAAAGTGGTATAAGGGAAGCCAGATTCAGTATGAGAGTACTAGAAGAAGTGTCATAATATAGAAAATAGATATCCTTTAACTTTTACTAAGGAAATGTTCATGCAGATATTAGTTTTAAATGTTGAATTATTAACGATTGAAAGTCCCTTTTTACACTTATTATAAAATGAGAGAGAGGGTGAAATGAGAGGGACGGGAGCTAGGGGAGGAGAAAGATGGGAGTGAGGGGAGGAGAGGGTGAAAGAGAAAGAAAGAGAGAGAGAGAGAGAGAGAGAGAGAGAGAGAGAGAGAGAGAGAGAGAGAGAGAGAGTATAGGAATAGCACATTTGGGAAAGAGAATACTATGTACGAGGGGCATGTGAAACACGAGGGGAATGGGATGGCGGCCTTACCAAGAACTTGCAGATGCATTGGTGAATTTTTAGTCTCTTGACTCCTATCAGCTCAAGAGGGAGGGGGGGGGGGTAAGGGGCACTTTTCCCCCCTTTTCTTCCAACTTTTAAGGAAATATTTTGCGCCGACTCGGGGTAGGCACGGGGTAGGCACTTTTTTGTGTGGTCCAATTTCAGTGAGGAATAATTTAGCGTCGAATCAGCCAGCGGAGGGGGGGGGGGGGGGGGTTACAGCAGGCGCGGATCCAGGATTTCTTAGGGGGGGGGGCCCAAATTTGAAATTATGCGAGCCAAAAATTGGTACGTAATAGTGACCAACAGTGACGTAATGCGGGGGGGGGGGGGTCGGTGCAGGGAGGGGCGAGTTTCCCCCTCCCTCCTCCGCGAACGCGGAAGTTTTGACGTTTCATTAAATTATTAGAGAAAGAAGACGATTCGTTGTACCGTTCTCAAAAATAATTCTCGTCTGAATTTAGTTTTTCCCCTCCCGCGCGAAGCGCGGAAAATTTTTACGATTTATTAAAGTATTACGAAATAATCCACGTCTGAATTCAGGTTCCCACCCTCCCGCGCTTCCCGCGGAAGCTTTTTAAGTTTCCTTTAATCATTAGAGAAAGAAGACGATTCGTTGTACCGTTTTCGACACTAATCCTCGTCTGAAATCGGTTTTCCCCCTTCCGCGCGAAGCGT